GCTCTGCTGTGCAATGTTTGGCGTGGCTGTTTTCACTATATTGCTGTACAGTGCTGTACAACCTGCTGCAACACCAAAGACCCCCCACTTGTCTCCTCTAAAACACTTCAGCTTGTTTGTTTTAATTTTAATTGGGTGCTATTTTCATCACTGCACCTATGCTGTTTGTTCTGGCGTCCTATAGATAATCACGTTTGTGCTGTCCAAGAGATGCTGGGAATACTTGTGAGAAGTCATCCAGAGCTGATAGGTAACCTAGTGCCTGGGCAGGTCATGACCTGACATTGCATGCTCTCAGTTTGGTAACAATGCATGAGAGTACCAAAAACGAGAAAGTCTCAGCTGCGCTTTCATTTTAAAACTAGGATATCATGCCAGGTGTTAGGAAAGCACTCAAAAGTCCCACATTGTCAACAAAAATACTTTTCCCAGCCTCGGTGGAGTTTTGATTAGACCTCACACTGAAGGCAGGTTTGGCTCTTTCACCAGGAGTGCAAGACTGGTAGCCCTCTCCTTAAATCCAGAGCCACCCACTGGGAAGGTTTCTAATCCCAAGGGTTAAGGGGGACTTGTGCAGCAGCAATTTCTCAGACTGCAGGAGCAAATCCCGAAAGCTCCTGAATGCAGCACGCCACAGGAAGAGAGCAAGTCTGAGGACACAGCAAGGAAAACTTTTGAAGTTCTATTCTTTTAATGCTTCTTTTGAAAAAATGTAGATATCCTTAGATATTTTTTCAGCTTGTTCTAGCCTGGGAATCTCTTTCTGCTGCTCCTGATTTCCTTATCTTGGAGTGCCTGCATTTTATCGCTTAGAAGATTCCAGGTGTACAAGTAATTGTGGGTGAAGAAGCCTTTGGTGGGTGGAACAACACGAGACATGTCCTCACTTCCTGGCTCTCTTGAGGACAGACAATTCACTGAACGGCTCGACATGGTGGGGTGACAAGCAGTGAGAGACACTCTCTAGAGTCATTGGCAAGAAGTGAGACTAAAGATATCGGGTGACTTCCCACAGGAAGGGCCTACAATGAAGAACACGGTGTTTATCTGACCTGAATGGTTGGGAGATTACATCACTGAACACACACTGCACCCCCACACTGACACCTGCTATACCCAGAACGGTCCCCTCTTCGCATCTGCATTTCTGATGAGGATGCATTGTTCTGGCCGAGTTAATTTGAACTGATTTAGGGAAGCATTACAAGTGTTGCTGAGCAGAGATAGCACCACACACGGATATAAGAGCATTGTTGAGACAAGGTCTATATGGGATGTTCTGCCAAATGGTTCCCTTCCCTTCCTCTTCTCATTTCCTTGTTCTCCTTCAGTCACTGGAGAATGCTAATCCCGTTCTTCATTTGTTTATGTATAAACCAGTGACTTTCCAGACCTGCTACAAACAGACATTTGACTATAAGACTTCTCTGAAAAGATGCAGCAACTGCAGATAGAAATTTCTTTCCTGAATGATGACAACTTGATGGCATTTAGTTCCTCTGGATCTAAAGATTTTAATATTGCTAGGTTTGTATTGACAGCCAGAATATAGAGAGCCCTGAACTGACAGCTCTAAACAAAAAGCGAAATACTACAACTACTTTAATACTTCCATCCTACTGATTATTTTTCAATATCTGTTTTTGAACATCTTTAGAAACAACAAATTTACATCGCTTTGCTCATTTAAACCAGCAAGCTTCTGACATTTTGCTCATAGCACACAAAAGAGCAGGCATACAACTATGTCTGAATGGAGAAAGTATGGACACATCTATAGAGAGCAAAGTCATTGCTGGTTCCAAAAATTTCTCAGAATTAAGTATGTAGAATTAAAATCTAAGCAGCAGAAACTTCAGTCAGGATTTCCTCACCTTGCAGGTACATTGGCTAAAATCCTTTTTTTTTCCCCACCCTTTCCTTCCAACCAAGAACGTCTCTCTCTCTACCTGTCCAAACAACTGGGTAGCCATTGGACAGTCTATGCTGGTCAGACCGCTCCAGAGACAGTTGGCAGGGTGAGCAGGGATCACCTTTTCCAATGCTGGGCATTGCAGAGTAAAGTGGGAGAGTAATAGGGCCAGAGATGGCTCTGAAGGCTCAGAGGGGAGACCTGGACTGTTGTACATGCAACAAAAACTATTCTCTGCTTTACCTAATAGCATGTTTATTGTATTGAGGCTGCTGTGACATTAAAAGGGTAGCAATACCATGGTGTTTTTAGCTGTGATCACAGGCCTTGTCTTACACAGCTGTAGGAGTCCTTCTAGTCCCACAACCCAGACACTGACACAGGGGAAAGAGCACTGTCCTTAGAACACCCATTGCCAGCATTTCCATGCATTCCACTTTGCAGACTCTTCCACTGATTCCCTCAGGGTACTCCCCACCCTCCCTCTTCCCTTCGTGTCTCTCCATCCATTTTCCAAGGCATAGCTTCCCTCTGCTTCTTCCACAGGGAATTAATTTCTGCTCTTGTCAAAGAGCAGTCATCTTTGACCAAGTGTTGGAAGTAGAGGTTCCCCAATCAATTTGAAGATGCTCTAATCACTCTTAACATGATCTTAAATGTGCCTGTCACTATACTTCTTAATTCCAGCAACCCCCTTCTGTTGCTTTGGTAGAGCCTTGCTGTGCAGGACAGAGCAAACTGTTCTGGTGACAACCAAGCTGGAGCTCAGCTGCACTCAGAACACATGGGTGAAAGTGATTTTTAGTTACTTGCTTAAGCAGTAGTAGTGATTAGGGATTGGTGCTTTCCCCCAGTACCCACAGGGTCAGAATGCCTGCATTTTGGCAAAAGGTGAAGCAGAAGCATAATTCAAACATTTGTTGAATTAAAAAAAAAAACAAAAACAAAAACAAACAAAACAGAGGAAATTATCATTTAAAGATTAGGACAGTTTTTAAAAGGTCCTGAAACCGGAAAACCGCTACAACTTGCAAGCGGCAAGCTACTTCTCTTTTAATGAGGGATACTTGATTTCACATAGTGATTCCTTGATGCCTTATGTTTTTTTTGCACTTCCCAAAACAAAATAGCCAGAGGACTCTCAGAAATCCTAAACTGCCTTTTTTTTTTTTTTTTTTTTTTTTTTTTTTTTTTTTTTTTTTTTTTTTTTTTTTTTTTTTTTTTTTTTTTTTTTTTTTTTTTTTTTTTTTTTTTTTTTTTTTTTTTTTTTTTTTTT